GTGAACTTCCAGGTACTTCTGGACATCTCCTGGACGGCCGATGACGCGTTGGTACCAGGTGCGCGGTGATGACTGCTTGATGCGACGTCGTGGCGCAGTCCTTGACTCCTGGGTGGCACTGGTAGCGTGGCGGTTTTCTGGACAGTCCTTCTTCCAATGTTGCTGCTGACAGATTGGACACGGTGAGGGTGGCAGTGATGATTTGGTTGGGCGAGAGGCAGACGGTGGCTTTTTCCCTCCTCTTCTGGACAGCATGGATTTCTCTGTGTGAACTGACGGTTTCGACGATTCTGGAGTCATCTTTGACCGATTTCCAGGCATGGTATTCCTTGGCCAAATCGTCGATGGTGGTCTTGTCGTCCTCGTCCAGCTTGCGCAGGAAGCGGACGCGGTAGTCGGCGAGCTCTGGAGCTTGGAAGGCGAAAACAAGAGCCAGGCATTCCAGAGTCTCTTGCCTGATTTCCTTGAAACGGGCTTCCATGGCGCGAGCCTTCAGCGAGTTGACGAAGGTATCGATGTCTTCGTTCGGCGAGAAGTTCTAGATCTCCGAAGCATTCAAAGCGACGGCGGAAGAGACTTTTCTTGGTTCCGAACAGTGTCTTTAGAGCATCGAGCGTTTCCGTCCAGTTCAGGTCTCCGGGCTCCTTGGGAAGGATGTGGCGCACGAAGCGTGTGTGGCTTGTAGCGTCCAGTGCAGAGAGAACGACGCGCACACGTGTGCCTCATCTCTCTTCACATTACTGACAGTCCGACCCAGGGATTTACTCTGAAAAATGTCCTTAGTGCCTGCTTGATCAGAAATGCTGAAGAGTCGTCTTGGATGCGGCGTTTTCGTACGAGAACTTGTCGATCCTCCTTGTCATTCGGTCGAAGATAGATTCTTGCGGCGTGGTTGTGGGCGATGACATCTTCTGAAGCAAGGTCGATGAGGAGCTTCTGCTGGGATGGGCTGCCATCATCTGCAGACGAGATCCTTGAGTGGCGCTTCTTCTGACATCATTGTGGCGGCGGTGTGGTCCTCGAAGTCCTTGTCCTGATCGCCAGTTGTTGTGTCCTTGAGAAATCAGCAGCAGTAGAATATTTATTGGAAGACAGTAGTATATCAACATAGAAAACAACCCGTATATATACTCCTCTGCCTGGTCAAAAGATCGAGTATACCTAGGCCAGACACATAGTATAAATTGTAATCACCATATCATACCATTCCACCACGGACCTGTAGTAGCTAACTCCAGAAAGGAAGCAAAATCAAAAATCATGGAGAACAACCTGAGTAAGAATCTGGCACACTCTCTGGACGAGTTCTCTGCAAAGGTGCAATCAAAGGGTATCCTGCCGCATTTGGCTCGCTAATCGTTAATCGAAGCCGCGAAAGCGGGATAATCATAGGAACTGATGCCAGACTTTTTGTACAAGGAAGGACGACTACAAAATGCTCGTTCGCGGGAGCTGCCTCTAAGCACAAATCCCGAATGACGTGTACGACATCCACCTCGTGCCCTAGTGCACACGCTTTACGGAAGGGGATACCTAGTATATCAAAGTCAGTTTATGTTACATTGTCCTAATGGGTGCCCATCAAAGATAATAATTACAGGAGCCGTCCATTGGCTTTTCCGAGCAGTATCAAAATGATCTCATTGTACGAACGCATCATGCGTTCGACGTTCTCCGTAGTGAACATCGACTTGCTGGAGAAATGATCTGGAATTTCGCCGATTTTATGACTAGCATGTGTGAGAGCTTTGATTCTGCTGCTTTGATTCATTGATCTCAGATTCAGTTGAAATATGCTGATTTTATTTTATCTACTGCGCATAATTTAAGCACCGCTTCGCGCCGCTGGGAACCACAAAGGAGTATTCACGAGAACGCGACAAGCAAAGATGGCCGCCTATACACTTAGAGATCGTTATTTGTCACTCTTTAATCAAACGGCCTTGGAGATATGGGAACAATCCACGGTCGACTCTACATCACCTTCGGCATGGCGACAATAGTAAGGAGGAGTTGTTTATTGAGCAATCCGAGATCGCCACAAATGTCAACGTTTCGTCTGCACTGGCGTAGCCTGCAAATTTTGTTATCTTATCGAAAGCACTCCTCACGATCCCATGTCAAACTGCGAAATCAAAACCCAAAGATAAACGCTATGAAACGATATTTTGGATGAGGTACATTTTTCTAGGCTTACAGTTGGCACCCTGAGCTTGAGGATTGTACGGTATCTCTTCTATATGTATTTAGATTCACCTACAATTGGTCATCGTTCTTCTTCTCTCGAGACCAATCGAACCGGCTCAAAGCGTCGTAAGGGACCGCTCTCCCCACATACAAGATTGATGGCGTAACTCATTAGTTTGCAAGGCTGCCAAAAAGTGAGAG